GTTTAAAAGATATTAAAGGTTGAAGTTTGATTATTTTAAGACAAATTTCTGTTTTCCTTATGAAGTTTATAACTCGTTAACAAAAAATTATTATGAAATACGCAATTCATAGTTTTGTACGAAATTAACTGCCCTACGAAAATGGTTTCTTATGATTAGTCGATTAAATAAAGCGTTTAAAAGATATTCATCGTCAAACTTCAATGCACAACAATTTTAACAGTTTCTGATTAATAATTCGGAAAATTTCAATTTAGTTTATGAATTTCAGGGAAATTTATACAAATTTGAGTTTCTATGAACAGAGAAATATTTTTAACGAACAGTTGATAGAGATATATTTTTTTTTCTAATACTGAGGAAAAAAATGGAAAACTGTAAAGCGGAGGACCTACCTATTCAAATAAAGAGCTCATATTTGGAGAGAATTTTCTAGAGGTGTCTAGCAACCTATTTTTCAGAGTATAAAGTAAAAAAAAATAGTCAATTTTTTTGACCCACCCTAATGGGTATGGGTAAATTTATGAACCATTTTCACAAAGCTTTTTAATATTATACAAGGTGTTCCTTTTAAAAATACACCCCTCCCGTTTCCCAACCCTATTTTTGATCAATTTTTTTAACATGAAAAAGCGTCAAGTGGTGATTAAAAATTTGCTCGAATAAGCCGAATCGAGTTTGTTTAAACATACAATCGAAACCATGAGCAAAGGAACACTTTGTATATGTTGCTATTCTGTATCTTCTCAATGTTTTTGTTATTAACAGCAGACTGTCGGCGTTTGCTTGAAGAAGCGGTTAAGTGTGTGCGTTCAAAGGAAAATAAACTTTCAGAAAAAGTGTGCGGAAATATCTTCGTTATTTTGATTAATACGTACCTCTGCGCAGCTGTTATGAGACCGAAAGTTACGATTATAAGAAAATATCTGCGGATCGGCACCTGAGACTATAAAATTAGCAGGTTTAACGAACGCATTGGAAATATCTGTAGCTACCACTTTTACTAAAATACTACAAAATTTTTTAACAATTTTGACAAATCTGTCTTTACTACTTGGAATTAGATAATAATCTAAGAACCTTAACCCTCAAAAGTCACACTAGTGCGAATTCGCACCACCGTTATTGTCGGCCAAATTAGAGCATCTGATATCGGTGCAAATTCGCACTAGTGTGACTTTAGTATGGGCAAAAGTGTGGCTGAATTTATATCATATAAAATACAAAGTGAATTGAAATGCAGATTTCCGATTTTTTTTACCTCATTTTACGTGTCGAATAGACTAGAACATTGTTTATTTAGTTATTGTTAATAATTTTTCAAACATTTTTTTTTCGTTAAGTAATAAATTAATTAGTTGTAACATATTTGTCAATATTTATGGATAATATTGTTTCAATTAATATTTTTATACAAGAGTGCAAAATATACATCAATTTACAGGAAAAATCGATATTATTTTATCAATATGGGGTATTAAAAAAAGTAATTTTTCGAAAAATGTTTTTTTTTAAAACTAATTACATTACTCGATTTCTCGGAAAATTTGACCCCAGTTTTGATATAAATATGGTATTTTCGTTAACAAATAAAGAAGACATAAAGGTTCAAAGTTGACAAAACCCAATTCGCACTAGTGTGGCCTTTGAGGGCTAACAATGATGACAGAGGGATATTTAAATATGATGCTTGTGCCTGTGGCGAAATTTGCAACTGTAAGTGTTTTGGTTTTTGACATCACTTCTAGCCAAAATTAAACTGTATGCTTTGTGATTTTCTCTTTGCAAATTATATAATTTTTGATTTTCAAGACATTTATCGTTATCAATGCATTCTTTCCTAAAATCTTCAGGCTTTAAATATTTTGCAGATTATAGAAAATTAGCAAATTTATTTATTTATTTATTTACCATTTGGGAAACAAACAGGCGAAAAAAAACCTCTAAATATCCACTAAATTAACAGATATTATACATGAAACAACAGCACAAAAAGTTTTAGGATAATAAATAGCATAAGAAATATTATAAAAGAAAAGCATCATAAAAAGAATAGCATAAAAATATTATAAAAGTATACGTTTGAGCAATCTCTTAAATGAAATTAAAGTTGTAGAGAATAAATCTAATCCGCTACAAATATCGTTATAAGAACGCATCATTCTGCACACAGGAGAGTTTGCGGAGGCATTGGTATGCTTAAAAGGAATGAAAAATAAGTCGTAGGACCTAAATGGCCTGCATGGTATATTAAAAAATATTTTACTAATTAATTGGACACAGTCAATTTTACCGTTAATAATTTTATACAGGTTAATAACATCCGCCAATACTCTTCTGTTAGCTAAACTTATAATATTATATTCAACACACAATCCATGAAAATTATTGTCGTTCAAAGTTCGTCCACACTTAAAAGAGAAAAATTTTAAAAATTTATGTTGAATCATTTCAATACGACTAATATATATAT